TATATATATATATATATATACATATATAATAGTGGATATATGAAATAAACCGAGCAGATGTTCTTTCTCAGTCCTTTCAGAAACTATCAACATGTACGTTACAAACAAACCTAATCAACACTTCAATGGTTAAAATCTGCTTCATTTTAAGGTGTGATGAGGCTTTTGCTATTTTTTTTCTAGCCTCTTGCAAAGTCAAACAAATGCAAAATCTGTGTGCAGTTTTTGTAGAATTGGGGACGGGGTTTGTTGACCTTAACGTCTGACGTTTCTGTCTCATTTATTTCAAGTCTAAAGAAGTGAAAGCAACCCTTATTGTGAGACCAACACATTTGGGCGTGTTGCCTTCATCGGGGTCATAGATGGGCCAAAAGGCAAAGATTTCATTGAATTCCTTTTGGCTCTAGATTTGACCTCTTTCGACTGCTTCCCTCTCCTTGCACTCTGCACTTCTTGAATCACTTTTATAAAGATGACTTACAATGAAACATTGCCTTGATGGTTAAAAAAAAACGTTGAGTTCTAGGAAACCAGAATTAATGGTACATGCTTTGAAAGATATACCACATACTTTGTTTTCACCCGTTGTTCACCTTTGCTACTGGGGAAGAAGAGAGAGGATATTATTGGCACAATGGGAAGGGGTCTCTCGTCAGGAAAACATACAGATAAGTTGTTTTGTGCTTTCGAATACATGACGGATGTTGTTTTTGCTGGTAAGGGCAGTCTGAGAATCTAATTTGGTCTGCTGTCTGCCCTCTTGATGATAACTCCCATGGTCCTCAGCAGCAGTCCTGCTTTTGTGAGTGTGTGCTGGCTCAGATTTGTCCTGGTCGGTGATTGCTCTGTTTTGACCAGAAGAAAAAAACACACTCAAAATAAAATGAAGAGGGCAACCATCACTGACTCACGTGTGTTACGTGCCACACATGTTCCACTGTAACACGTGTTGTTAGTTTCTCAATCTTGTGGCTATGCCAGTAAATACAGAAAACCAAAAATGAAATAGAATCTCAGTATGATCTCTTGTTATTTTGTTGGCATGTTGGTTTTTTCAACTTAAAAAAATGTTTGACGATAGAGAAAACCAACATTTCCCCTTGTGGGATTGATATAGTGTGTTCTTTTCTTCTTCTTCATGTAAACTTATGGTGACAAGAAATTCTTAAAATCAAACTTAATATAATTATTTCAGAACACAAGGCACCAATACTCTACCAAATCTTTATATTGAAAACGTCAAAGTTATTTGCTGCTTGAAACGTAAACGCATAAAATTAAACATAACTTTTTAACGTCCTTTCCAGTGCTACAAACGTGTCAGTTGTGTTAAGTGACCTCATATTCCCAGATTAGATTTGGTGTGTGTGTGTGTGTGTGTGTGTGTGTGTGTGTGTGTGTGTGTGTGTGTGTGTGTGTGTGTGTGTGTGTGTGTGTGATACTGGCTGACGGCTGTGGCTGAGCAGCAGCAAGGACACTGGTATCCAAAGAGTCTGGAGCTGTTTGTTTTTAATAACATGCCAGAACAGAGGGATGTACTGAGGGGAAGGAGGATGACGGGAGGATAAATAACCTCAGTATACCGAACATGCTTCCAGTCCCTCTGGGCTTACAACTGGACCTACCAATATACTGACTCATGACACCAGTCTTTGCCATTATATGTATGCTGTGATAGGAAGCAGACAGTGATAAGCAACATACTTTTTTCTGCTTATTTTGGTTCTCCAGATTGTATCCAGGAGTGGCATTTGGCCTTTGCTACACATTCTGTTTTTTCTGTCTGCCATCTGTTACGTTCCACTGCATAATGCAAGGAAGCTCCCTATCAGATCAACATTCAAGACGCCTCGTAGACACAAACATCATTACAAGAAAGAACGATGACTTATAATGGATCACAATAAAAAGAAGACATTGATCAGATGTGTTCTCGAAGATCCTTTGTTCTGAGTTTGATGCAGCTTTTTCCAACATTAGGGTTCAACCGAATAACAAAAATAAAACTCAAAGATAGACTTTCAAATACTTAATGCATTGAAATACTCAAGGATGCCCAGATGTATTGAACTCTTGCTAATCAAAAAAGACAATGGTTGAACATATTGGTATGTCCTGAAGCAAGATGGTCTAATCTCTTGGTTTCCTCAAAAGATAATGAATTTATTTCTTATATTTATTCCAGTTGTCGACCAAAATGTCTTTCTGTCACATCAGAATATTACAAGTTGAATTCTTATTTTTTAAATTACAATCATAGAGTTCAAAGATGGCCATTGTGGAAAAGTGGAACCAATAACCTAAAATAACTTATATAACAGTCTTGAAATGTTTTCTTGTTCGTGTAAACAATGATTCCGACCTTAACTGTGTAGTTCCAAGTGCCATCTGAAGTGCAACATCTCAACGTTTTCTCTACAAAAAAAACCCACTCTCCAATGTTTATCCTTTGGTATAAATCAGCACTGACTGTCAAGGTTGGCAATCATGAGGATGCTGTTTGTAGTACATTGACATCAGGCTACTTGATTTCTCCTTGAATTTCAAGGGTTACCTCTTTCTGTCATACCGCGCTGCTAACAAAAGCACAGAAAGACAACATATGTGTGTAGATAAACCTTAATAGGGGCAGAATGCTTCCATTTAGCTGCTGCTAGGTGTTCATATTGTTTTAATGCGTGCAGTTTTTATGTATTTGTGCACCTGAGGCTCCGTGTTGTTTGGTTGTTGTCGAGGAGAGCCTCAGTCTAATTGAGCAGACATCAGACTTTGATTAATATTGTTGATGAGTGCTGCCAGCAGGGGTGAAGATACAGAGAGGAAGAACTGTCAGACAAACATCCAGGTAACATCCTTCATCCCCCGATGCCCTCCCTTGCGAGGCCTACCCCACCACACTCCTTTCTCCTGTACTCACAGGAAAGCGATCAGTGCGCCCCACTGGTCACTGTTTGATATACACCATTTGTGCTGCTCAGACTGCTTGAGTCTGCTCCAAGCCCTGCCACCTTCTTAATTATGAATTACCTGCAGACAGCATGTGAGAAAAGACTGCAAGATAAGCCCTCAACATTATCTGCCTTCTGGGGGAACATACCAGAATGTATGGGACGAACAGCTCGCATGGAAAAGAGTTAGCCTTTATCATGCGTTTCATCAATCAGCTGTATGAGCTGATGCCTGTTAACCTGCTTAAGCCCCCGAAGCCCTGTTTTCCAGCCGTCTCAGGCTCGAATATGAGCCCTATGGTACTTTTGAGTTTTTCCATTCCTCGTGTTATATAGGTTTCCATGATTGCCTACGTGATAGGCTGAGGGCGGGACATCTTTGAGCCGAGGATGACCAATGTGTGAAAAACAGGTGCAGCACTTGACGGGTTAGGGTTAGCGTTTACTACCCCATTGAGGCTATTAGACGTTACCGTTTTCTGAATTTGCTATGGTTTTGAGCAGTGGGCCAAACCAAACACGTCATTCCATTTGCAATAAATCGTTTTTTTGCCACTACTTATCAAAATAAAAGTCAAAATCAGAAGGATTGGTATGATTGTAATCCTGGTGAGAAATTATCCCGTGAAAGACATGGATTAAATCCTGATATTTTTATTTTGAAGCATACGTTATCCACTTGGAGTCAAATATTTTCCCGAAGGAACACCACATCAGCTTAGATCTTCCCACTATTTATTTAGATGCATCTTCTGCCTGGTTTCCAACGAATTACATAAACAAATCATAATTGCTTTACTCAAAAAGGGGCCCCTTGAGAGTGCTTTCAAACTTACGTCTTCAACGAGGTTCTGGGAAAACACCATTGTTCCATAAATGCATACTTTCGACTGCCTGATTGTGCATGTCTGAAAACACAAGAGAGTGACGATGATTAATCAGCCGATGTCTAGTGAAACAGGCCGCTTGTCTTAACTACATGCCTGTTACAGTCTTTCACAAAATAAGGCAAATTGTGCACTGCTATACGCTTTAAAAAATGCGCAGGACAAAAGTTTATCTCGTTTACAAAGTGTACCTGCGCTGTATCAAGTATGAGAGGAACCATACAAATATTTACAGGAAACGGCTTATTAGTGTTGGACACAAACTTATTTGACCTCCTGGCTGAGAAACCGCCACCCTTTAGCCGTTGGATTTTCAGGGAAGAATCGACCACGGAGAGGACGGTTAGAGCTTGCAAAACCAGGTGACTTTATTTCAAAAACACCACAAAAGAACAGTAGCCAGGCTGCTACAGGTGTTCACCCCTCTGCTGTACAGGTTCACCGCTCTGTCTCTTACTGAAGACTGCGCTCTTTGTAGAGGTCTTCAGATGACTTGATTGCGGAGAAACCATTCACCAGGCTACACTAAATAAATACCACGCGTCATTATAATTATTATAAAGAATTATCTCTAACTATCATTGACATAGCAGTTATTGTTGTTATAGCCATCGTTAATTGGAACCCAAATAACAACTTTATAAACTGTCCATAATAATATAACTACATCCCAACCTAAGACAAAGAAAACCCCTGCGGGCCTTATTCTCGCCACTTGGTTCGTTCCCGGAACCTTCTTTGGTGATGTAAACTTGTACACCAGTGTTCACTTATACAATTAATGCAACTTTAACCGTCGCATGATATATACCACACGCTCAAACATATTATTGCACACAATGATATTCTCAATCCGCTGCTCATCCTTACACAAGCATAAACACGTTCGGAGGCTTCCCAGCTAACCCCCCTCTCTTTCAGGTGGCACCGAGTACCCGTCCGCATCTTGCCAGACGACATTCCAATTAATTCGTTACATTCATTTAAATAATACTACATCAAACTAGTATAAATTATATAAAAATATTGCAAATATGCAATTGCCAAAACTGTACTGCTGCAAATCATTGCTAATAAAGTGCAAAACTGTCACTTAAAGTGCTGAGTGACAATTATTACCTGTGCCAAAATTGAAGTTGTTATATAAAGTGCAAACCCCACCATGTGCATATTAAAGGGGCCCAAAGCCGTCAGGTTCCATAGTAAAGAAGTTACCTTCGTTTACGCTCTGCCAAAAAAAGTAAGAGTTAGTTAGGGTCATGGCCAATAATCAACTGTAGTTCTTTTAAGATATTTATGTTTACTGGTATTGTTAAAAACATGTAATTAAAGAAGAAATCCGTATTCAAACCCCCATTATTAAATTCC